TAAAATTATTTTAAATTCTTAAAACTAGTTGTATAAATATTATAAAGTCAATTTTGTTATAAATATACGTATAAACAGATTATAAGAATTTTTGTTATAAAAGTTCATAACTTAATAATATAGAATTTATAAAAAAAATTAATAATTATAAATAATTATAAGAGTAAAACGATATAATACAAGCACATAAAGATTACATTTAATGATAGATAAAAGTGTTAAAAAAATATATAAGGTGGAATTGGATGATCTAAGTGATCCCACTGTGAGGGCTCGGGTAGTGCTGAGCGTCTATTCCGGCCATAGACTGGTAACCATTGAACAGAGGGTCCGCTCATTGATGCCAACGGCCCGGCGATCACACCGTTGTCCCCCACTATTGCAATGCTTATGACCAGAGATATGGCCAACAGGTATGCGATATTTGACATCGTGTTCACACGGTTTGAGTCTAGTTTAAAAATTAATAATTATGTATTAAACAGTGAAGTAATGTTATTCATAGTTAGAACTTTACCCTATGTTATGTTTGCAGAAGCGGTTTGTCTTAATAAATGGCGACTTTTTTTACATATGGTTTTATTTAATTATAATGAATTTAATTACTTGTTTAGTAAAGTTATATGAAGTTATTTTCAGCTATTTATTAACGTTAAATATTCTGTACATTAAAGTTGCAGTATATGTATTTTTAGGTAACTTAAAAAACAGAAAATGTAACAATTAATTGGATAGATTATCCTACGCTATTTACCGAACACAACATTAGTCATATAACATGTATTTATATAATAATAATGTAATAATCCTTATTATTTGATTAGAGGGCTCTCTCTCTCTCTCTCTCTACATTTGATTAATTAATTGTACTATTTTAAGTACAATTATATTCACAGTCTATAATAACGCAGTTAATAAATGAATTTATTTTGTTAATATTAAGTCTCATTAAATTATTGTACGGTATGAGCAAAAACAAATCCATAGAGATGATTTTAATAATGTTTTAATTTATAATTTAATTGTTATCATTATCATTATACTGTATTAATATTTATTTATAAAATTAAGTCTCATTAAATTATTGTACAATATGAGCAAAAACAAATCCATAGAGATGATTTTAATAATGTTTTAATTTATAATTTAATTGTTATCATTATCATTATACTGTATTAATATTTATTTATAAATGTACTAAATTCTTATCAGTAAATATGCCAAATACTATTGCGTGATTAGTAAAGCTTTTTCAACCAAACGTCATATGGATTAACACATTATACATAATAATATTATTATTATTATTATTAAATGAACTATCCTTTTGTTATATCAATGAGAAGTTATAACAATGAACTTCACTTTCAGATGAAATAGCTTATAATCTTATAATGGTCTATTCCCTAGAATTTTATTACTGTAATCTTGGTGATAATTAGTGTAAAAATTTTTATGACACCAAGGGTATTTTATAAAAACTATTAAAACATGTAAACCTAAAACAGTTATAAAATCAATTTTACTGTAATTGTCAAGAAAAACAAACAATCTCAATTGACATCTTATTATATTAATTAAAATAATTACATTAAAATAAACATATAAGTATTAATTGTAATCTAAATATATACATGGTAATATTATATTAAATGTTAATTGCACTATTAATACAAATATACTGATATGCTTGATACACATGTGACAAAATAAAACAAATAAAAGTTCCCATGCTAAGAAATTGATATTTTGTCACTTATAGTACTTTTGAACTTAATTTATGAAACTGTTGCATTTTACCTTATTATTAGGGACTATGCGGTGGTCTATTATAAAATCAATTTGATAAAGTATATTAACTCCGAGAATATGCAACTATTGCTAAAAATGAACCCAATGTTTAAGAGAAAATAAAACGGTATATAAATAGTGCATTTTTCATTTAATTTATAACATAATTAATTATTAAAATAATAATAGTTATTTATTAACAATGAAGTTATTATTAGTTTTGGTGTCGACTTTAGTTGTGGCCAACGCTCTGCCGCACAGCAGCCCTTCAAACGAAGAGATTGAGAGCCAATGGCAACAATTTTTGGTAATAATTAAATATAAATTTTAATTATTATAATAATTATAAAATTAATATTAATTTTATATATAATTAGATTGAATTCCGAAGCAATGAATTGCAATCATTTGAAGACTTGTCGGCGAGAAGACAGGTATTTGAGGCCAACTATCGGCTGATTGTTAAGCATAACTACGAGGCGGACAATGGGTTGCATTCATACCGAATGGGAGTCAATCAGTTCGCCGACGTGTCCGACGAGGAATACAGGCAACGATTGGGTGGTTTTGTTTTGCCAAACATTACCTCCACCTCAAGTGGTAGAGTGGACTCAAACGCCCCAATTCTCGATGCTGTTGATTGGAAAGCAAAAGGCAAAGTAACCGGTGTTAAGGATCAAGCTCGTGTAAGTACAATATGTATACAATAATTTAAGTTATGCATTTTAATTAGCAAAACAAATATAAAATAGCAAAACTAAAATTAATTTTTATCACAAATTCACCTAAATCTCCAGTTAATTATGTAGATTAATAATGTTTTAAAAATTAGTAATCTATGTAGAATTATGTATGAATGTTTTTTGTTTAAAATCTACATTTAATAACTAACAATATAAATTGTCAATGTTAATTTTAAGAGACTAATTACCATGATTCTTTATTTAGTGCGGAGGCTGTTGGGCATTCTCCACCACCGCCGGAATCGAGTCGCAGATAGCCATCAACCAAAACAAGTTGGTCACCATATCCGAGGAGAACCTCATCGACTGTTCGCGACCTAAGCCGGGAGAACAGGGTAACAAGGGCTGCCAGGGGGGTAACATGTACTACGCCTACCAGTACATCATCGCCAACGGGGGCATCGACTCCGAGTCGAGCTATCCGTACTCATCGGCGGTGGACACCACTCAACACCAGTGCGTCTACAAGGCGTCGGCAAAACAGGCGACTATCGAGGGCTTTGAGTTCATCCAACCGCCGACGGCCAGCGAACAGCACTTGACTCAGTCCGTGGCCACTGTCGGCCCCATTTCGTGCAGTTATGACGCGACCAACAATTTCCGTCTCTATAAGTCGGGCGTGTTTTCTGACGCCAGCTGTTCGTCCACTGCTGTCAACCACGCGGTGACTGTCGTCGGTTACGGTACGGAAAATGGCAAAGATTACTATTTGGTGAAGAACTCGTGGGGTACCGTTTGGGGTGATCAGGGTTATTTCAAATTGGCCCGTAATGCCGGCAATATGTGCGGTATCGCCTACTTTTACAGCTGGCCCACCGGCTCGAAGTTGGCCTAATTAAACTGTGATTTGATTGTACATTTAACTATGTAATAAAATTGTTCATTATTAAATTGTTGATTTTATGTTTTGTTGCATAATAAATAAATATATATTTTAAAAATTACTATTATCATTATTATAGAATATTGCTTTTACAATGATAATTTTGTAAAAATGAACTTTGTTTTTTAGTGTTGTTAATATCATGATTGTTTACGTGGAATTTGATTATTATAATCTTGGTGATAAATAGTTTAATTATGGCAATTGTTATGGGAAACCACGAGGGTGTTTGCAAATTAATTGTATAAACCTAGAATAGTAATTATAAATTATAAATCATAAAATTGAATTAAAACGACAATTAACACAAAAAGTTTAAGTTTTAATATTTATATTAGTACAAATTATACAACTAGATTCTATGATAATTTAATATTTATTAATTTTTATAAAAATAAAATAAAATAGTACTAGCACATATCTAATAATAGATAATGCAATAAAAGTTATTATTAAAAAAATTGAGCATCAAATGTGCGAGGAAGTGCTTCAGCCACCGGTGATGGCTCAGGTCGAGGGGCGCGTCTGTCCCTGTGATAGGCGGCGGACAAGTCGGCAAAGTGTCCGCCCATTGAGGCCGACGACGTGGCCCTCACGGCGTTGTCTCCAACCATAGCGATACTGACGATCAGAGCAATGATCAACACGTTTACAATCTTTGACATTTTGTTCACTCAGGTTTGAGTCTAGTTTAGGGGTTAATAGTTGTTTATTAAAAATACTGATATAATTGTAACAACTATTAAGACTTTACCGTATATTAATTTTGCAGTAAATGTTTATGTGAATAAATGGCGACTATTTTTTGCAAACTTATGGGTTTTTTAATTGCATTTAATTTTATTTAATTACTTGTATAACGACTACGAAAATAAATATTTCTTCAATTATTTACTAGCATTAGATATAAACTTTATATTAATAATAATTAACAATTGATAAATTACATTCACATTAAATGTAATAATGTGATCAATGTTTTTAACAATTTATTTTAATCTAATGATAAGATTTTTATGTGTAACTACAAGTGTGTTTGCATTACAATTGCATAAACCTAGAATAGTAATTATAAACAATTGTATTAAAATGACAATTCAAAAAATACTTAAAATTATATTTATTAAAGCAAACTCCATTATAAAATACACTATTTACTGAAATTAATAATATAAATAATTTGTACAATAATCAATAAATGTTTATCACAATCTATTAAATGCATAGAAATGTTTTGCAGCAATGTCCTTTTATCAGTCAGTAAAACTGATTACAAAAACTATTTAACATAAAACAGACTAAACAAAACAATCTGTAAAATTAATTAATATTTAAAACAGAATTGTTTATACGAACAAAGACTAAACTAAACATTACTTGAATATAACTTAATAAATTATATGACCCATGAAAAGTTATAACCGGCTTAACTTTTGCACTAAACTTTGCATATTTTGTGTGGTATTCATTTATAATGGTTGATTCAATAGTTGAATTCAAAACTAAAGTTATGATTAAACCAAATAAAAAAGTTAAGCCGGTTCTAATTTTTCATGGGTCATATATTAAAATAAATTATAACAATGAAATTGTTATTATTACTTGTGTCGGCAATAGTTGCGGCCACAGTGCAGCCGCATAACAGCACCCCTTCATCCGAGTGCGAGACATACAATGGTGTGGCCGACGTAGCCGTGCGCTCGGGTCACCACTTCAAAGGCCTCGCCTTCACTGCGGATGCACTCAAACATCGACGCGTTATACTCATAGGTCAACAGAAAGAGCAGATCTTTCTTCTCGCCCTACGGTTTGAATGTCTTCATTACAGTGACTCTGCCGTAGATCGACATCTCTTTCATGGGTTGAAGGTAGGCTGGCCAACTGTCGACTATTTAAGTAGACATTCCACTATTTCGAGTTTGTGTCCACTAGAAACTAAATTCCCAATGAAATAACAAATTTTGGTTTAAATTATACAATTATTAATTTTAAAAATTAACAACTTATAGAAATCTATTAATAAGCAAGCCTTGTTTGCACATATTAATTAAAAATAATTATTATTTATTATTTATTATTGTAATAAATAAACAAAATTCTAATTATTTATTTATAAATAATGAAAATTATAATATGATCCGTATAGAGCCAAACAAGGGTTCATTTTACCATACTAAATTTTGAATAAAATCAAAAGTATAATATATATCAAAAAATTTTAAATATACATTTTTGATATTTATAAATGACATATCATATTAAAATTTGAGCAAAAAATATTCATAATTGTGCCCACAATTTGAAAAATTAAAACAACATGTTTACCAAAATGTCATATGAAGTGCGAATCAGTAAACGTGTGGCCAGTCTTTTGGTTGCAAAATAAAATACACAAATTGTTATCTAAAATAATAATATAACATCTAATCATTATGTAAAATACCATTACAAATACAATTTTAATATGATATGTCATTTATAAATATCTAAAATGTATATTTACAATTATTTGATATACAGATAAACTCAACCGAAAGAATACACCGTAATATGCGAATAAAAACTAACTGGGTAAATATATTTTAAATCTGACTTCAGCATGTTGAAGCCAGATAATGATCAAGTATTTTGGTATACATAAAGTTATATTTAACTATATTGGTATATTTTTAAAATTGATGTCTTTACAGACTAATATTTCCATAGAAAAACAATGGGTACTTAATATTATTGTCTAATAAACGGAAAATAAATAGAATTTCACATGAAATTACAATAATTCCCTAACTAATAAAGTTAATATAGTATAATTTCATACACAAATATGGAATAATAGTGTGCATATGATAACAAAATATTTTTGGCCTAGCTCAATAATATGCTTTATAATTAAACAATATCGGTACAGCAAAAATTAAACGTCCTAGCTTAATTCTGTCTTCACCATTCAAACCAGCGTTAAGAATAAGTCAAGATGTATATTTGCATTTTAAAAAAATTTGATTTTAAATAGCTAGATTGTAACACAATATTTTATAATTATTTTTTGTTTTTAAATCAAGGCTATATGCTATATTTAATGATTGATCAATGAAAATAATTGTGTAATAAAAATAATTTTTACAATAATCAGTGTTTGACACCATCTGTTAAATGCACGAAAATGTATTTAGGAATGTTTTGCAACAATGTCCTTTTATCAGCTAGTAAAACTGTTTACAAAAACTATAAGTTTATATTTAACATAAAACAGACTAAACAAAAAATTATATAAAATTAATTAATTATGGTTATATTAAAAACAGAAATGTTTATACGACCAAATCCTAAACTACACAATACTTCAAAATAATAAGTTATACAGTATATTAAATAGTAATTATAACAATGAAATTGTTATTATTGGTGGTATCGGCTATAATTGTGGCCAAAGGTCAGCCGCATAACAGCACCCCTACATCCAAGTGCGAGACATACAAGTCATGTGTTGAGTGCCGTATCCATCAAAGCGGACCGTTAGACGAATGGGCGTGCAATAGATGTGACATAAACCCGATCGGCACCTCTGAGTTTGGGGTGTGGGACGGGGAACACCTCTGTGTCTACATTGACAATAATGACTGCAAATATCAATTCAAATATAAATACGAAGAGAAAGAGGATCTCAATTACGTGATCGCAGACAACTTCAAGGAATGCCCGGAACCAGTGGACCTCGTGTTGGTCATCGTTGACATCGGCGCCCAATTCGTTGGCTTATTATTTGAATTATGTGTATATTTTGTTATTTAAAAACACATTAGAGTATTGTATAATATAAACACTTTTTTATCATATAAAAAGTAAAATGTTTTGTAAAAAGTTTATAAAATAAATAAATGTATTGATCTGCCAGATTTTTATTAACAATTCCATATTAATAATATGTTTCATATTAAATACAATTAGCCATAACCAGCCCATATTGGCTGCATATTAAAATAACACTCTTCTCCCATCTACAATTTGCAAACTTTATTATAAGCGTCTGTTTTCTTACCCGTTATGAATAATGTACATAAAATCTAAAAATGGCCCCATAGGATTAACATGATTATTTGTTAAATATTATTTTTGGGAAATACCGGGAACAAAATATGATGTTATCAATCCAATGAGCATATTATTTAGAGATTAATATAAAAATTATTATTATTATTATTAATTGTAATATACTTTTACAATGATAAACTTAGCATTCTACATTCTGTATTGTTAATATTATGACCAATTCCCTTGAATTTGATAATTATAATCTATGTGGTAATTAGATAATAGAAAGTTCTAGAGCAACCACAGGCATGTTTGCAAATAAGGGCAAATAAACCAAGAATTTATTTTTTAAAATTATTAAAATAGGAAATGTAAAAAATTATTATTAAATCAAAATAATAAAATTAATTTGTCATACTTATAAATTAAATAAATGTCCATTTACAATTTATAAAATATTCAATGTAAAATACAATTGGTTGCACAACAGCATATACTTAAGTGCATAATTCATGTGACAGATTAAAATCTATTGAAACACGTAAAAGTTCCCATGCTAAGAAATAAGGATATTTTGTAAAATTAGTACTTTATAATCTAAATAAGAAAGCACACAATTTAGCTAATTTTTATAGCCGATGTGGTGGTCTAATAAGTCTTATGCCACTTTATTCTGAGTTTATTTTATGATAATATATATTAACACCTAGAATATGCAACCTGCAAGTGCTAATCTGATTAGCAAAACAAAACTGTATATAAACAGAGAGCTTAGTTATGAGAATTAATTAATAATATAACAAGTTATATATTATATTAATTGCAATGAAGTTACTGTTAGTTTTGGTGTTGGCTATAGTTGTGGCCAACGCTCTGCCGCACAGCAGCCCTTCAAACAAAGAGATTGAGAGCCAATGGCAACAGTTTCTGGTAATAATTAAATGAAACTTTTAATTATTATAATAATTAAAAATTAATATTAATTTAATATTAATTTTAGACTGAATTCCGAAGCAATGAATTGCAATCATTTGATGAGTTGTCGGCGAGAAGAGAGACATTTGAGGCCAACTATCGGCTGATTGTTAAGCATAACTACGAGGCGGACAATGGGTTGCATTCATACCGATTGGGTGTCAATCAGTTCGCAGACATGACTGGCGATGAATACGAGCAAAAATACTTGGGATTTATGCCAAACTTTGCCGGCATTAATACAACCTCAAGTGGTAGAGTGTCCACAAACGCTCAAGATATTCCCGAGTCTATTGACTGGTTAGCAAAAGGAAAAGTTACCGGTGTTAAGGATCAGGCTCATGTAAGATTTTTAAAATTGTTATTATATATTAATTAGAAAATAATTACAGGAACAATAATAATTAAATATAATTTTTAAGTAAACGTACAAAATATCTGCATATTAGTTGCAATTTTAAATATGTAACAAGCATCATGTTCAATTTATCAAAAACTAATTACAACTATTTTCATATGTAGTGCGGAGGCTGTTGGGCATTCTCCACCACCGCCGGAATCGAGTCGCAAATCGCCATCAACTCTGGCAAACTGGTCACCCTATCCGAGGAGAATCTCATCGACTGTTCGCGAACGGGCAATAAGGGCTGCGGCGGCGGTAATATGGTCTACGCCTACGACTATATCATCAAAAACGGTGGCATCGACTCAGAGCCCAGCTATCCGTACTCGTCGGCCATCAACACCACAGACCACCCGTGCGTTTACAAAGCGGCCTCAAAACTGGCCACACTGGAGGACTACGAATATAAGGCACCGGGCAGTGAGTCGGACCTCACGGCACAGGTGGCCAATGTTGGGCCCATTTCGGTAGGTTTCGATGCCTCCCAGAAAACCAAAATCAGGTTATATAAGTCGGGCGTCTATTCCGACCCCAACTGCTCGTCAACTGTACTCAACCACGCGGTGACTGTCGTCGGTTACGGTAATGAAAACGGCAAAGACTTTTATTTGGTGAAGAACTCGTGGGGAACCGCTTTTGGTAATAAGGGTTACTTCAAATTGGCCCGAAATGCGGGCAATATGTGCGGTGTGGCCACGTTTTACAGTTGGCCCACGGGTGTCAAACTAGTTCAATAAATGCTGATTTGATAGTATTTATATAATGTTATATTTTTTGATCTAATAATTTGTTGCAATAAAATACAATACTAATATACAATTATACCGTATTATAAAATTTACTTTACATGTACTGTATACGGCCAAAACCTGATAAGTCATTTAATATTCAGACTCATAAAAGTAGTGAATCAGTCAACGGGTAACAAAAAATTCTCTATCCAGTTAATGTTATAAAGTATACTTTACATCTATAAAATAGTTGCAATAATCATTATTATATTTTTAAAAAGTGTACATTATTGACAAAACTGTACTAAAAATGTACTAAAGTTTCTGTCATAATACTGTAGTATGTTTATGTGATGTGGCTATTTTAACACGCACTAATAGCTTATCAATACTTGTTAATCAATATAATAATAAACTTAAATAGATAAGCAGGACACCGTATATATAACGTCTAACTAAAATTATTTACGTCTCAGCTTATTCTTTGTCATGTAAAAATCTAAATAACGTGCTAGACTCTAAATAATTTCAATTTATTTTAATATATAAATGTATCATTACTTTTACAATATATAAATAATAATAAATTTTTCTTATTTTAATTTTAATTAATTATCAATTCTAAAGTTTTTGAATTGAATATAAGACTCGTCTTCATCTATAATATGAATGGACTCTAATCTATCATTTGTGGTAAACAATGCCTTCAAATCCAATTCATTAACACTTATATCAAATAATTTCAATGTTTTCAGTAGACGTAGTCTTGCGATGAGAACCAAATTAATGTCATTTATATCATTCAAACCCAAATTTAAAATTATAAGAAATTTAATATTTGGAAAAATTTCAATAATTTTATCAATCATTTGATTGTCTAATAGACATATATCGAGTACTAAATGTGTTAATTGTGGCAAACATTGCATTGAATCCAATGCTCGCCAATCAGTCACTTCTGGTCTATCACTCCATAACATAAGTTGAAGAGATTTTAAATGTTGAAATGATTCCATAGTTTGTAATGTATTACATATGTTGTAAGAGTTTGTCAAAAATCTAAGTGAAAAGGTTTTCAATTTTCTTAAATTATAACCAATTTTACGTAAGGAATCGGACAATGAATACGAGAGATAATAATTATTGAAATGTAGTGACAATTCACGCAATTCTTGTAATTGTATTAATCGTGACATCAATTCAATAATTACATTACAATATGAATTCTGTGCATTCATTGCATTGACACAAAGACTTTTTAAACATTTCATATTTGATACAAATATGGCAAACAATTCAATAGTAAAACTGTTGTCAATACTCAATTCAAATTTTTTCAAATGTTGTACCAATAGATGGTTTTTATTAAATATACTTTCCATTGATTGTACTTTAAGTTGTGATAATCGTTGACAATAAGACAGTAACGAGTGGTAAAAGTAAACACATTGTCCATCAATATACTCATAATATCCACAAAATGTTATTTCCAAATAAGTAATCATTTGACCAAACATTTCAAAAATTAATTTTTTTTGATTGGTTATAATTTTCTCAGGATTAAAAAAAATCTTATTAAGTTTCGGCCAATTGTCTCGCATTTCATTCATTGACATAAATAATTGCATTAAATCCTTGTTATGAATAACACGTGTTGTGTCCACACGTGTTATATTTGGACATTTTTTCATCAATTTTGACAACTTTTTAGAAGTGAAATATTTCTCACCGAAAATGTTTACTTCACTCAATGTGTCCATCAGTCTGTGGTCGACATCGATGTCCGTAAGTGTTGTGTAAATCAATGTCTGGAACCGTTTGGACAGACATTCAAATGGGAACCGATCTTCGAGTGGGAGATAACTGACGATCACTTCAACCAATTCTTTGCCAAACCTTTCGATTGAATCTCTTTTTCTTTCNATCGATGTCCGTAAGTGTTGTGTAAATCAATGTCTGGAACCGTTTGGACAGACATTCAAATGGGAACCGATCTTCGAGTGGGAGATAACTGACGATCACTTCAACCAATTCTTTGCCAAACCTTTCAATTGAATCTCTATTTCTTTCCATAATTTCAGTCATTTTTCTTTTCAATTTCTAAATAAGTCTTTATTAAAAATAATTGTATTTAAAATAAAAATATTAATGCAGTCATTAATACAAACACGTTTTATTCATTTGCGACACAAAGTAAATAATCTGATCAATAAAAAATCTACTTATAATTAAATCACTTTGCAGTAAAAATAAGTTATACATACTTAAACTTATACATGTATATATGAGTATTGTTAAAACTATATAAAACTATACGCAACTAAACTTGAATTAACCGGAATGGTATCAGGCTTAGTAATAAGGACTAATGTTAAAACCCATGCATTAAACTTATATAGTCAATCATTTACTTGAATTTATAATCAAGTAAAATTGTAATAAAACTTGAATTGAATGTAATGATTTGGTTTTAACATTAGTCCTTATGACTAAGCCTGATACCATTCCGGTTAATTCACTTAACTTATTCCTTTAATATCCATTAATTGAATTGTAATGAATAATGGAAATATATTTATTAATTTAACATTTAATGTACTCTTTGCTTAATTATAAATGCCTTAACGACTTTTACTTAAACTAAATTGAAATGTTATTTTTAAAACATTTGTATTAAATAAATATAAATTAGTTAAAGAAGCTTATTATTTTTAAAAATGATTTTCAGTACCAAGCAACGTTTATTAAATATGACAAAAATTTAATCCATTTCATTTGGTAAATAAACTGTAAAACAATTTTTATTTAATTTTTAGCATTATGTATATTATTAATAGCCAATCTAGTATAGCCGCTATACTTAGTGTAGCCACATGTTCAACTAAAATATCAAACTTAAACATATATATAAATACAAATATACATTAATAAAATTGCTATAAAATGCCAAAACTTGTCGTATTCGAGCAAAAATATTGAAATGACAATTGAAAATATGGGCAAATATTAGTAAAATTGTTAATAATTGCAAACATTATCAGAACTCTCATTAAAATGTGTATTTAATAATAACATTTTGTGATTCTTTGTTTTGAATAACGTATTACACTGAAAGCCAACTATTATAAAAATAGGTGAAAATTACTAAGTTGACCATCACCTATAACCACGTTGACAAACAGATACCGCTTTAATAACACATTGTCAATATGTATCTGGCGAAAGGTTGACAATTATATAGACCCGTAAATATTAATTTTCCTTTATCGTAGTGTTTATCATTTAAAAATGACAGTGGCGCCGCCTATTTATGGCGCACTGTGAATTTGAATTTGGCTAACCTAAAAAAAGATTGGCTATCTAAAATGTATATGAATCAATTAGAAACATTCATGGTCTTTTTCACCTCATTTGTATGAATATTTTTATAACTTTTATTTTAATGGTGATTGTAAAAATTAATTTTGGTGTAATTTTTAATTAATTTCAATTTATTTAATTTAATAGATTAATGTAAAGGGGCAGTCAAGTAATCTTGCAGCTCGCGTTTTTGCCATTACTCCTAAAGTACAAGAGATAATTAGATTCTGTAAAATGGATATAATAGAAAATTATCGGGGAAATTTTTTGTATATTTCATAAATTTATTTTGGTCACGTGGTATACAAAATATGGGACAATTCCGAATAGTCATATTACAAGTCAAATTATAAGAGATGTGGACATGGTTTTAATGTATGATTTATAAAGGGATAAAAGATGTATTATATAACGTAAAAATTATTAAAATCCAATTGCAGGTTTTCACATAGCAGCTTAACAAACTAGGCCAATTTTTGCATGTTAACCTATGGCGATGAAAAATAATATTGTATTTTAATATAATTGATTATATTTTTGGAAACTACATTCAATGCTGATAATGTGAGTAAAAGAAATTTTTAAAAAAATTTCATTTCAAAGACAAAATATCTTTAATTGAAAAATTCAGTTTTAGCCATAAAACCCAAAGAAAACTCAATATTTTCAATATTCCCCGATAATTTTCTATTTTATTCATTTTACAGAATCTAATTATCTCTTGTATTTTAGGAGTAATGGCCAAAACGCGAGCTGCAAGATTACTTCTCTGCCCCTTTATAATTAATTTTACAATATTTAAATAATAATTAATTTTTCTTATTTTCATTTTAATTAATTACCAATTTTTTAAGTGTTTGTCTTTGAATTGAATGTAAGACTTGTCTCCGTCTGTGATATGAATGGACTCTAATCTATCACTTGTGCTAAACATTGCCTTCAAATCCCTTTCAGTTATAAGTATTGAATCATTCGCTCGTATTTTCAAAATTTGTAATTTTTGTAGTCTTGAGATGAGAACCAAATTAATGTCATTTATATAATGATTACTCCAATCATGAATATCAAGGCATCGGAGGTTTGCGAAAATATCACTAATTTTGTCAATCAATTGATTGTCGATTTGCCATAAATCTAGTGATAAATGTGTTAATTGTGGCAAACATTGCATTGAATCCAATGCTCGCCAATCAGACACTTCTTGTTGATTATGTCGTAAATCCAACTCAAGATATCTCAACCATCGATAAGTTTGCATTGAAGTGAAAATATTTACCATTTCATCAGTTTTATAAATACTTAGAAAAAATTTATTTAATTTCTTTAAATACAATCCAATTTCACTCAAATAGTTGGCCAACGACTCAGGGATTAAACAATTGTTAGTAAAATGTAGTGACAATTCCCGTAACCCTTTTATTTGTATTAATTGTGACATTAAAATAAATAGTAAATATTGCTTTGATTTATTGCTATAAATATACGAAACAGACAAACATTTCAAAAATGTCATATTTGAGACAAAAATAGTAAATAATTTTTCATTAAATTTTGTATCAAAATTAAACTCAAATTTCTTTAAATTTGTAATTAATAACTGATTTTTATCATCAAATATATCAACGATTGAATTAACTTTTAGTTGT